AAGGCAAACAAAAAATGATGGTCTACAACTGCACACTACAACAGAAAGATACACATATTGTTGACATGTAATACAGGTAGGATACTACAAAGAAGATCGTATAACATGTCAATAGTTTTAGCATGTCATTAGAACACGCAACTAAAAACAAAAACAAAAAAAATGAAAGAAAATATTCTCAAATACCTCTTAAGTACTCAAACACTGAGGCTGCTTATGATGTGTCTCCATGAACTTCCTTCCTGTAATTGAAAATGCATTTACATAATATTTCAAGTCTAGAAAAATTGAAATACCTCAAACCTTTAGTACAAAAATATAAAAAACTGCATGATGATTCATAAATAAGTTAAAACCAATTTCAGACAAATAAGCAAGTCAAAGGCTTAATTGGCGCTTATTCAAGTGAAAGCAGAATAAACCAATTAGTGCTACGAAACGGGGCCAACATATAACAAACTGTGTTTGGTAACGTCTTTTTCCTATTTTGGAGAGCTATTAGTGGCATACTTCCATACTTCATTCAGCACTTCAGTGCTATTTGAACCATTAGGGCTCTGGTATTCCAAGTTTTACTAATAGAGTGATATTAGCATATATTGTCGGGACAAAATTTTTACTATGTGAATGTTTGAAAGTTGTGAGTTTGACAACCCTGCAGAGAAGGGAAACCTTTGCCTTTACAGATTTCCTAGTGAACAGTGGGAAGTAAATTTGCCTGCTGAGAAAATGGAACTAACTAATTAACTCATCCGTCAGTTGCTTTCTTGGAAATTCTGGATGTTCTATGAAATTACCATGTTCCAACATCACCTAGTCTCTACACAACAAAGCTGTAATTTTTCTTGGAATAACTGAAAATAGCATACGGCATGTAACCCTAACCCCAATTTAGAAGCTGCAGCAGGAGAGGAAATAAACGGAAACCAATTCAAATTCAACGCAAAGAAAATCGATAGAGGAAATAAAGGGCAACCAACGACGAAGTAATTATCGATGGGTTAAAAATCGAGCAAATCGAGGAAGTGTGAACCTTTAGACCAGAACAAATCGAGTGCAACTAGGTATCGTTGGGTTAAAAAATGTAATTACTCTTACCAGTGCTCGCTCGAACGCCATACGTCGAAGACCGGGCAACGGTGAAGGTCTGCTCGCTCGAATGCCGGCCGAAGACGAAGGTTCGCCTGCACGAAAGCTGCTCGAACATCGTCCGCTCGAACTCCGTCCAAAGCTTAGTTGAAGTCGGGAAGTGGAGTCACAGCCTTCTGTAACTCGCTGCCTTGCATCTTTCACATACACCATTCTAGGTCTGAAATCGGCTAATAATAACTGAATTCTTTTTTTTTCTTCTGCATCGGTTTTAATCGATATAGATTAAAGTTTCCTTAATTCTGAAAATTACCCTGTTTTGTTTTTCACATCGGTTCTAGAGCTACCCGTTTTAGAATATTTCGGAATATTTTAAAAAGTACCCCATTTTACTATTTAACATCGGCTATAATAACAACCATGTAGAAAAGCTTATAAAAATTATAAAAATGACCCCATTTTAGTATTCCACATGGGTTTTGAAATAACACATGTAGATAAGGTGATGTAAAAAGGGTTTTTTGTACTATTGATATTTGGGAGTAAGATAACTAGACACGACGTGATCAATGAATGTTCGGTGGCGTGGGGCTGTGGGCCACTGTAGTCAGTATTAGTAACCTCAGAAGGGGGCGGTGATAGGAGATGAGGTTCCCCATGAAATATGATTAAACACATGTCTATTGGGAGACACGTGAGTGGTCTAGGGTAGGGTTGTGCATGCGTCATTTGGACAAAATGTAGCGACTTCTACCCGAGATCTGAATAAATTCAGTCCTGAACCTATGGGGATTGTCCAGAGTATTTGAGTGACTGGACGGGAGTATTTTTCTCGATTGATAACACAATAGAGGTAGCAAATTTGACAGTGATTATTGTTCTCTTGCTCACTTGAGCTTTCTGCTTCCTCACTCTCACAATGCTCACTCAGTTACTCACTCACTCTCGGCTTTGTCCCTTGGGTAGGCTTAGTTGGGTTTACTAAGCCATTGGGACTTATCCCTCATTTCTCTTTGTTCCTTTCTTTTCTCTTTTCTTTTCTCTCTTTACTCCACCTCAACTGGAGCACTCAGTAGGATGCCTTTGATGATGATTGGCGCTTTGGAGGAGAACTTTGAAAACTCCCTCCCCCCCCCCCCCCCCCTCAAAAGTTGCAAGTTGTGTTGTTTGTTGCTCGGGGAGTAAAGTAGAAAACTCCCCTTTGGAATGTGCTTGATTCGTTGTTTGGCACCAGGAGGAGTATAAAAGAACACTCCCCCTCAGAATAAGCACTTGTTTATTGTTCTTGGCGTGTATTGGTGATGGGGTGTGCATTTGTTGATTTTCTGCTCAGTGGGGTAGTATACACGCCAATACTCCCCTTGATAATGTGCACCATTTGATTGCTCGCAGCTCATCTTCATACCTGTCATTTGTGTGGAGCAATCATATCAGTTACCACGCATGACGGACTTGCAAAACAGATTAGGTATGTTTTGGTACCCACCTTTAGATGGGTCCTTCCTTGTCAACACTGAAAAACTATTTCAGTTTCCATTCGATTTGGGATCCTAGGCTAGCTGGTTGAGAAGAGTTTGGTAGTCTTAACTTTTCAGCTTCAGCCTCAGGAACCCATTGTTGTTTGAACTTTGGAGCAAGAGAGGTTTCACTATGAGTGAGTGAATGATCAGACAGGTGGTCTTTGAAAATTGGTTCTTGAGAGAGTTTTTTAAAGTGTTTGAGTGAGTGAACCTTAAGGGGATACTTCAACCATGGTAGTTTATACTCTCCCTCTACGTTCACCTTTGCGGAAGCTGATTTCTTTGGACATCTCTGAACATTCACACTCTGATCTTGGTTGGAGAAGGCATCAGACTCAGAGAAGCCGACTTTTATTGACTTAACGCATTTCAGAGTAGAAGAGCTTGAACAGTAGTAATTCTTGACATATTTCTTCCTTTTAGCATAGAACAGAGCGCTCGAATATCGACTCTTATTCCTTAGACAAGATTCTTTTTCCTTCTTTCTTCTTCTCAACTTCTCCTCAATCCATTCTCCTCTCCTTTCCACTCTCTTCTTCACATTGTATCTTGTCGGAGAAGGACACTCGGAGTGTGAGGTAGAAGTTTCAGGATCATCTGTTAACCTGTGCTTGCTTGAGACGCTGCTTTTAACAAGGATATTTCTTTTAAGAGTTGTTCTCTTTCGTGTTCAAAAGTCTGTTTTTCTTTATCAAAAGATTCTTTTAACTCAGCAAACTCTCTCACAAGAGGTGGAATGTAAGCTGGTTCAGTTACAGGTTCTGAAGTTGAAGGTTCCTCTTTATCTTGCACAGTCTCTTTTCCAGGATAATAGATTGGAATCTCTTCAGCAGAAGTCAATGGAGGCTCTTTAGTTTCATAACTCTTGTTCAAAGCAGCATAATCTAAAGGTATTTCAGTTCTAGGATTAGCTCTCTTTTCGTCTTCTTCTACAGCCGTTTCTTTTGCGCAAACAAAAGAAATTAATTTAGTCAGTCCTAAACCCATGTAATTTATGTCATAAAGTTGAACACAGTTCACTTTCTTTAAATTACTCGGATTAGATAGACCAATACCTTCTTTGAAATTATAGAAACGGGTGTCCTTGTTCTGATTTAGAAAAATGGTTTGCTCGGTTTGTCCTTTCATGGCGATTAAGTCCTCTAATTCCTTGATCTTGCTAAAATATCGAGATTGCTGAAATATCGAGATTTCCTATCGAGATTACTCAACTTTCGAGAAACCTGAACTTCGAGAAACCTTTTTTCGAGAAATGTTTTCGATGTCGCTTCAACAAACCTTTTCGATATTTCTCCTTCGACAAACAACTTTTTCGAGATTTGTCCTTCGACTTCGAGAAAATGTTTTTCGCAAATACTTTTATGATGTTCAGCTTCGAAAACTCAAAACATCGAAAAGCTTCTGTCTTCTTCGCAGAACCTGCGAAATATCTCAAAACAACGAAATCTCAAAATTCCCAAATACACAAATTCCAATCTGTTTGTCTTAAATGTTGATTGAAATCTTCCAGAAAATGCAGAATAACGTCAAAACCATGTTGATCAAACAAAAAATAGCAGAAAATCAATTTTTCGAGAACTATTTCTTCACCGTCAATGGCAGATACAAAAATTGCAGAAATTCTTCAATCGATTTTACGCTCGGCTCTGATAACAATTGTTTTTCCCTAGTTCATTCAACAATCATACAAATAATATATAGAAGAGAAGAAAGGAGTTCGATTCAATACCAAAAGGATTTAGAATTTAAGCTTAATGTATGAAACGAACTCTCTGATGTCTCTCTCTCTCTCTACAAGAATGATATGTGCGTTTTTGTGCGTGTAAGGCTTAGGGTTTCTCTTAAGTTAGCATCCTTTTATACATAAGGATGTCTAACGGCTTACAAGAAGGCTAATGGGCTGAAATACATTTGTGGCCCATATTACACATTTAATTAATAACTACACAAATACAAAGATGTTTAACTAGATTGGACACCATAAAATATTCCCAACAGATCCATTAAGTTGAATGTCTTGGTTTATATGGATGATCTGGTCATCTCTGGCAATGATCATGATGACGCTAACGTTCATTTTAAATCTTATCTCAGTGATAGTTTTCGTATGAAAGACTTGGGTCCCATCCGGTATTTTCTCGGGATCGAAGTTGCCCGCAGTCCCTTAGGCCTCTTTCTTACCTAGCGTATATACACCATGGATATACTCTCTGAAACGGATCTTCTAGGAGTTAAACCTGCTGATTCTCCCATTGAGAAAAAACATTCACTGGCCAAAATTCATGGTCCTCTTTGTCTGATCCGGAGCCTTATCGCTGCCTTCTTGGCCGGCTCATTTATCTGGCTATTACACGTCCCGATTTGACATATTTTGTTCACATTTTATCTTAGTTTATGCAGGCCCCTTGTCAAGCTCACTGGGATGCTGCACTTCGTGTGATTTGTTATCTGAAAGGCCCTCCTGGATAGGGCATTCTTCTTCATGCTGATAGGGACCTTTCTCTTACCGGATGGTGTGATTCTGATTGGGCGACCTGCCCGCTTACTCGTCGTTCTTTTTCTGGATGGTTGGTTTTCTTGGGCATTCTCCTATATCATGGAAAGCCAAAAAGCAATCTAGTGTTACTCGATCTTCCGCGGAGGCAGAATACCGAGTTATGGTCGCCGCCACCTGTGAACTTAAATGGCTCAAGGCTTTACTTCTCAGCCTTGGAAGTAATCATAACAAAGTTATTTCGTTGTTCTGTGATAGTCAGTCTGCCATACATATTGCACGGAACCCTGTTTTTCATGAGCGCACTAAACATATTGAGGTGCATTGTCATTTTATTTGTGATGCTATCAAAACGGACCTCATTGCCCCTAGATAGGTTCCTACAACTATGCAACTTGCAGATATATTTACTAAAACTCTTGGGAAGACTTAGTTCCACTTTCTTCTACGCAAGTTGGGCATTCTAAATCCTCATGCTCCAACTTGAGGGAGGGTATTATGGAAGCATATATTGAGAGATATATTTATTTATTCTATTTATGATATGTAATCTCTTATATTAGGCATATACTTAATATCCTACCTTTTTAGACTAGTCAATTATTCATAAATAGGTTTGTATGTCTTGGAGAAACAGAGAACAATAATAAACCAATATTATTTTTGCTTTACCTTAACTGTCTAACATGGTATCATAGTCAATTCCGGTTGTGGTTTGACTGCTTGTTTAGCACTCATGATTACGGGTAGCTTCTTAAGGGTCTGTTTGGTCCATTTATACATCCCGATATTGTCCAGCCCGGTTCAGGCTGAGGGAGCGTGTTAAAGTATTTATCCAACACCGGAAAGCTATAAAACAATACATCCTCCGTCCCGCAATTAAGTTACGGGATGAATTTCACACATATTAAGAAAATAAATTTACTGAGGAGTAAATTTTACTGTTTCGACACAGTTTGGACACTGTGTGGCACTATTTTGATGTAGATAATTTGCCAAATAAGGAAAGTAGGGAAGTGTGAATTTAATTGTGAGACTGCCTAAAAAGGAAAGTGAGAACTTAATTGGGGGACGGAGAGAGTAAAACACTATATAAGATTTTGAGTCACTCCCCCCTATCAGGTTGATCTTTTACGATGGAAACTTAAGTCTTAACATGAATACTACGCCCCCCCAATCGTGGCTCCTACCAAATCAAACTACAAAGCAAAGATGAAATAATTGGTATAAATCAGACTACACATATAAATCGTATATTTGAGAGCCCGTACTTCACTCAATGAAGTACAGCGTCTCAAATATACGATTTATATGTGTAGTCTGATTTATACCAATTATTTCATCTTTGAAAGCTTTTCTCAATATATAAAATGAAGAACATCTCCCATCAAAAGATAGGCAAGTCTTAACCGGTAACTACCCTAGCCTAGACGCCCATGCTTTCATGTCTAAAATATGTGACAAATCCGTTTATCACTAAATCTTCATACCGTTTACTTGTCGAATGGGTCAACTGGCATATAATACACATGCATAACAAAACATTGTCCGATCAAGGATAAATCAAACTTTCAAGAACTTGGCAACCAATTCCAACCTGCAGATCGATCATTATGATTTATTATAACAATTTGAATTAATTATATCGTTAAAATTATTAGTCGAGTCGATCATAAATAAATAGATCCGACATTTACCAAACATGGATCGGATATATGTTGACAAGTGACATGTAGGTACTCAAGTTTGGCACCGCATGAAGACTTTGAAAACTTCTACTCCTACTCCTACGTAACATCTTTGTCCATCCATCTAAAGGTCAGTTCACTTTTTCCTTTTTCTTTTGATAATTCAAGAGTCCGGGCATACACTTTGATACTCTAGATATGTAATTAATCTAGCGGGACTTACCTCACTTATCCTACCACTCTCTTTCATTAATAATGGCTCCAAAGGACAAATCCAACAGGATTTACATAGGCTCTGTTTGTATTTCAACGGTTTGGAAGCAAACCGCTGCAAAATGTAGCGTTTTCCTTTGACAAAAACGGCAGTTTGGAGGTAAAATCGCTGATTCGCTGCTACCCAAACATTGCCATACAGACTCCTTCTCCCATTATATGAACTCGTTACTCCCATTACCATCCTCCCTTCTCGGCATTGAACTACTCCTTAAAGGTAGAGATCGAGAATAATGGGAAGCAAGAACTCCTTCGTTTCTCTTGGGTGGGAATTGAACCCCAAGAACTCTCATTAAGGAGAGAGCTGGAGCTATGGTGCACCGATACTTCACTCCGATGTCGTATTCATGTATCCGATATTGATTATAGCTGATACATGTCCTATACGCATTGAATAAGTGAAGAAGTGACAATTTGTTGCCAAATTATTTATGCGAGAGTTGCAATTTTAGTCTTGTAACTTTCGGCTGTTATTGTTTTTGGTCCTGTAACTTTTAGAACTTACAAATTTGGTCCTGTAACTAATAAATCTTTGTAATTTAAGGACTTCCCCACCGGAAAGTACACTTTCCGGCGGAAAAGTCCAACGCCGGCGACATCTTTTCCGGTATGCTATTGTCGGAAAGAGTACTTTTCAGAGGAAAAGTCCTTAAATCGCAAATATTAATTAGTTAGAGGACCGAATTTGCAAGTGACTAAAGTTACGAGACTAATAATGATAACAGTCGAAAGTTATGGGATGAATATTGAAAATTTCCCATTATTTATTAATAGAAATAATTACATAAATATGACCAAAATAAAGATGATTTACAAAAATATGACTAATGACTAGAGTAGTAATGAAATCATAGTAATTTATGTTCAAGTTTTGAGCTTAAGTTACCACAACACCACATTATAGTAATGAATAGTCATATTTATGTAAATATGTTTTATTTTAGTAATATTCTTGTAAAAACCCCTTATTAATATACTTCTCTCGTTCTTTAACTATCAGTATATCTTATTCTCTATTAGTAAAAAAACGTTTTTGAAATTTTGTGGAAGATGTGGTAGATACTAGATAGTATGGAAAAATTAAATGGAAATAATTAAAACAAAATGTAAATTACTTGTTCTGTCTCCAAATAATAGTCTCATTTCTTTTGGGCATAATGATCATGAAAAGTCCAAATTTACCCTAACTCCTAATCTATTTCTTTTTGTGCTTTCCATTGCCCTCTTCTTCTATCCCTTGGAGAGGCTCGACGGTCCATACCTTAGTGTGGCCGCCTGCGTCTGTACACTCTGGTAAGTCTGAATCTTTTTAATTAGGAGGACATTACGATGGTAAGGTTGTTCATTAAAAATCATAAGATGGCTAAAATTGAATTGCACATCAATTTTTTGTTGAAAAGTGGAATGAGATTATCATTTTGAGATGCCCAAAACTAAATAAGGACTACTCCCTCCGGTCTCATTTTAGTTAGTAATTTTGGACTTTTCTAGTAAAAATGCTAGACTTTGACCGGTAATATCTTATATATGAAAGTATTTAAAATATGAAAGTATTTCAAATATGAAAGTATTTCAAATATGAAAGTATTTCAAATATGAAAGTATTTCAAATATGAAAGTCATATAAAAATGTTTTAATTTTGTTAGAAATGTTATCATAAAATTATACGTAGTACGTAGTAAAATTTATAATTTTCACTAAAATATAATCCGTAAAATCAATGATGGCTCGGAGGTAGTACCAAATTGAGAAAGAAATTGAAATACTCGCTTTGTTGCTAAACAAAAGTTCCTCTTTCCTTTTCGAGTCATCCCTAAAAAGCCATCTTTCCTTTTTTGATAAGCAAAACAGTGTCAAATAATATCACTTTCTTAAAATGTGTACAAAATGAAAGAGGACCTTTATATAAGGACAGAGGGAGTATATAATTACAACTGTAGATTGTTAATTTTATTCTTGTTCAATTCTCATATTATATACTCGGGTATTAATAAATTTTAAATAATGTCACTCATTTTTCATATATAGCTATGGCATAACACATTAAAAGCTTCCCTAACGTATTTTAGTGGTCTTGCAACAGTATTTTAGAATTCATAAAAAAATCATTATAGAGTCACTATGTCGTAAAAGTCATACTTTTTTATTCATTATTTTGTGTTTGTCATTTACTGTACTCCGTAATAATTTCATCCTAAAACCAGCCTCAAAAAGCATAATAATAGTAAAAGTATTATTCTCATCATTAATTAATAAAATAAAATAACATAATCATAGTACCTATTGATTGGGATGAAGTTTTGTACTTGAGTGTCATCCAATGGTCTATGACACTGACCTTCAATTCGTTTCCCCTTTATATGCACACACTATCACCCTTCATTTCCGTGAGACCACTCTAAACAACAATAATGAAACAAAACACTATTCTCCTCAGATTCATCATACTCATACTATCCAGTTATGGCATTGCCATATGTAACCTTTGCTCTACCAACCCTTTCCCCACCCCCCTTCTAGAACCTAATGGTTCATCATCACTGAGGGGGGACCTAAAACTGGAGGGGTACCTTAGCTTTGACCATATTGACCATGCAGCCAAGGACTTTGGGAACACACACCATTTCCTCCCAGCAGCAGTGTTATACCCCAAATCGGTTTCGGACATCTCTTCGGTGATCAAACACGTCTCCGGTTTGGGGCTCACTGTTGCTGCGAGAGGGCGCGGGCACTCGCTGCAAGGGCAGGCACAGGCTAACAATGGTGTGGTGATCCACATGGAATCGCTCCGCATGCCGCGAATGCGATTCCTAACCGTGGGGAACAACTTCTCCTATGTTGATGTCTCAGCTGGGGAGCTGTGGATAAACCTCCTGCATGAAAGCCTTAAACACGGGCTTACCCCCAAATCTTGGACTGATTATCTTCACTTATCCATTGGGGGCACTCTGTCTAATGCTGGGATTAGCGGCCAAGCATTCCGGCATGGCCCCCAGATCAACAATGTTTACCAGCTTGAGGTTGTCACAGGTATTATATTCTTATTATTCTACATACTCCTCTTAAAGAACTTCTTAGTTTAACCTTCACTGAGCTTGAGTAAATCAGATTATTTTGTTTAATTTGACTTCAATAAATGCCCTTTGAATGGGTAAATTTTATGCGGACTGTTGTACGGAGGGATCAGAGAATTTTATTTTGGGACTACCAGAAAATGAACATTGGACATTTCCATCAATAGGACACAGCCTGAGGCAGTGTAGAGTGTAGACATATATGCTTTTGAATCATTTGAAAATTAATTATGCATAAATAATTCTACCTCTATCTCATCTTATGTGTCATGTTTTGATTCAACATAATTATTAACAACAAAGTAGCTACAAAATAAAAAATGTGGTTGAGATTTGAGTAGATTAAAGTTAAACGATATGAAACACATATTTGTTCCCAGGCCAAAAAAGGAAACACAATTTTTATTTGGGAAAAACTAAAAAAGGTAAGACACATAAAATAGGACGGAACAAGTATTTATTTAGTTATAAGTTTATAACATGAAAATATATACTTTTGAATAATTTATCTTACTACACGTTTTTGTACAATAATTCATTCGACTATAAATAATATGGGTCAAAGTTGAAAATCGAGGACATTGAATTCAAAATGCAAACATTAAGTGGGGACTGATGTACAGTCCATATATAATGTACTAAGATAAACGACTTTGATAATTGATTCATTGATATATTTAAATGTCTATAAGTAAAACTATAAAAAAAAACTTTAAAATATTATTTGGAGACAAAAGATACATTGAAATATTATTTGGAGACAAATTTTATATTGTATTATGATAAAGTAATTAATGAGTAAAATGTGCTCAACAAGAGTAAGTAAATAAATAATGTAATAGTAAAGTGATGTAAGTACTAAACTAAGGTTCCAATCGACCAGTTAACATTTTAAGGTTCTGTTAAGTAGCCTTATTTTTTTGCTTAAAACTAGAATAAAAGGGCAGTCAAATGCACGAAAGCATCCCACCCACAAGACGAGAGTCCGAGGAAGAGGCCCACTACAATACATAAAAAATGTGACTTTTGACTGACTTATTTTGCTGAAATATACCGACTACTCCCTCCGCATTTTAAAGAATATTCCCTCCGTCCCTAAATTATCTTCAAACTTTCCTTTTTCGTCCGTCCCAAAATTATCTCCTATTCCCCCTTTTAGCAAAAAATTTGTGGTTCACAACCATTCTTACACATTCTTACACATTTCTCTCTCCTCTGCACAACTCTCCACCACACAAATCCCACTATCTTAATAAATGTGCCCAGCCGAAAAGGGAGAAAGATCAGGGACGGAGGGAGTACTACATTAGGTTTGACACATTATTTAAGGAGTAAAGTAGTAAAAGTGATGAATAGTGTATAAAAAATAGGAAAGAGTTGTAAAAGTATGGAAAAAAAGATAAAAATAGAAAAAGTGATGATAATTGAGTATTTAATAAAGGGTACATTTACAAAAAATGAAAGTGTATCAAACTTTTCGATACATCCCAAAATATTGTACCAAACTTTAAAATACAGAGGGGATATGTATTACCATAGTTTTCCCTCTAAAAAGTTCACCATACAAATTACACTTATGAGTACTTACTCTCACCGAAAAGTACTGTGAACAAATTCCAAAATGTACTACAAGTCTACAAGTGTTGTTTAGTCCTTGTTTTCCCTGAAAAATGATTCAATCATTTAGTGCTCGTGGTGTAGGCCTGCATACGGAGTAGGTTGCAGCATAAGCCAGTTTTGTTGCCAAAAGTCACTAAAGAGATTATAAAATCAAATAAAATCGATTTGCTGAATCATGTTTCTTGGATTTTACAGAAATAAATTGGAGTGTGGGGTAAGGTGGGGTGGGGGTGTAGGGGATTCAAAGACATTACTGAAAAAATAATTCACTACCATCCTTGTCAAAATTAGTACATGTTTTATGTTATTAACAATAATGGTGATAAACATTCCCTAGGAATAGGAGAAGTCACGACTTGTTCAGAGGAACAGAATACTGAACTGTTCAACGCTGTACTTGGAGGACTTGGACAATTTGGTATCATCACTAGAGCAAGAATTGCCCTTCAACCAGCACCCAATATGGTAAACTAATTGACTCCCATTAACTATACAACTTAAATTACTTCGCGCTAAATAAAATCATCAAAAACTAAAAGAAACCGGTGGACGTAGCTCAACTGGTGGCAAAGGAGTGTCATAAGTCATGAGGGGTTATTATGCTAAAAATGCATAGGGACTCTGCAAGTACCGAGGACAGAGCTCACTCTCTATCTGTCAGATTGGGATTATAGTCCAATTTACATCCTCCCAATGTACCGTCCGATGTTGGGGCCCTCATGGATGGGGTGTCATCCTTCTTTTTATCAAAAACTAAAAGAAGGAAGTGTGGGGCCTTATTCTACTCTATTTTTAAAAAATGAGATGTGTTATGACTACTTAAAGATCCGGTCTGGTTTCAATCTCAAACTTCAATGATCCACGTGTTTTGAATATTTATAGTCTAGTCTGAATTAGGGGGCGTTTGAGTTCAGACATTTTTTTAACTTTTGATTCGATTTAAAACGGTTTCGGGAATAATTACTAATTTAAAAGCATACAAAGATTGGTTTGGCTGGATTTTCTTTGTATATGATTCCTTAAATATATTAAGATTTTATGTATTTGTTATTTCGATTCAGGTCGGTTCAAATTCATATGATTTAGAAAAACATTATTGAAGTCGAATCAAATTGCATATGTTCAATTTCAGTTTGGATTGGTTCAATTTATTCGGTCAGAGCGAACCAAAATATACTCTTAATTCGAATCTGATAGTCTAGTCTGAATGTTTCTGGTCTAGTCGAGATGTTTCTGATCTTGGGTTTGATTCCCTTGTCTGAAATAGAATATTTGGTGGATCATAAGAAGTCAAAATGTTGTTCCTTGTCTGGTCCAAGTGCGTGATAGACAGCTAAAAAGCAAACTAACAAGAAATGATAACTTGATAGGTTAGGTGGATACGAGTTCTATATTCAGATTTTGCCAAATTTGCCAAGGACCAAGAGGCCCTCGTATCATCAAAGGATTCTTTTGATTATGTTGAAGGGTTTGTAGTAATTAATAGATCCGGTCTGGTCAGTAGCTGGAGGTCTACTTTTGAGCCTAAGGACCCGGTTCAAGCCACCCAGTTCAGTTCTGAAGGAAAAACGCTCTTCTGCTTAGAGGTTGCCAAGTACTTCAATCCAGAGGAGGCTAGTTTTCTGGAGAAGGTTGGTATGAATAGTGTATGTTTTGTACAACTTATTTGGGAACTTTTAGCTAATTTTAAGCACCCAAATAGTCAACAGTTCTTATTGGTGAACAAAAGTAAGCTGTGTGTGAAAGGCGGTGTCTGTATATTTGGTGTAGCTTATTTTAAGCTCGAAATAAAGCAAACAGACTCTTATTTGCATATACTACCTAGTTGGGTAGCTTTTTTCCATTGTAACCTTTCACACAAAAAGCAGACTATGGTCCCGTTTGTTTTTCAGCGGTTTGGGTGATACACGCTGCATTTTGCAGCGTTTTGTAGTTCAAATCATTCGGAGTTTTGAAGGAAACGCTATTATCCAAACGGGCACTATATATCCTATACTATCTGATCAACAATCATGAGCTTTGTGTTTGTTCCAACTAACGATGAGCCTATTTGGTGCTTTTAGTTTCGCAGAAACTCTTTTAACTTTAGAAACTAAAAATTTCCAATTAAAGATTTGAAGCATTTTCTCAAATTAAAAGCACAAACAAGAGCATGATGTCAACAAATAATTCAGAGAGTTAAAAGCATTTTCTCAAATTAAAAGCACCAACAAGAAGCTTTTTAAAAAGGTACCAAATCCGGATAATGTTTCTCAAAAAATTATCACAAACATGCATTGTTTGTCTTGTATCAAGGTAAGAGATGTCCTCTTATGGAACATACCTTGGCAACTGAATATCTTTAACTGACGTGTCTATTCTTTCAACTCTGCAGAAGATTGACAGCCTTCTATCAAAGCTAAACTACATAAGCTCCACGCTCTTCCATACAGAAGTTCCTTATGTGGACTTTCTGGATAGAGTGCACACTTCAGAGATGAAACTCCGGGAAAAAGGATTGTGGGAGGTCCCACACCCATGGCTGAACCTTATGATTCCAAAGACGAAAATCCATGCGTTTGCTAAAGAGGTTTTCGGAAACATTTTCACTGACACTAGCAATGGCCCCATTCTCATTTACCCTGTCGATAAATCTAAGTATGACTTATATAACTTTCACTACCTTGTTCTTCATATCAGAATAAGTAGCTTTTGACTTAGGTGTTGTTCTCTTCACCTAATTGCTTTTGTTGATTACATAATACATACTTTTTAGTTTAGATGACACCAACCATGATGATTAGACCACATGTAAATATGTAATATTTCAAACAAGAAGTAGACCAAACAGAATCATATCAGACCATACCAGATCCTAAAAAGTAGGACGTATTATCAAATCACAATTTTTCAGGTGAAGAAGAAAAGTCCTTTTATTTGGCTGAAAAGGGTGTGTTACTAAAAAAACTTTAAGAGAATCCAGTAAAATCAATCACTTCAGCATACTCAATACTTTTAGCAAATTCGTTATTTAATAACTGTTACCAAACAGAGCTTTAATTCTCAATTATGTAGAATATATTAGTAATAACTGAATGCCATAACTCAGGTGGAAGAAGGGGACATCTTTGGTTACTCCTGAGGATAATATTTTCTACCTAGTAGCATTTTTGAGCTCTGCAAACCCATCATCTACTGGGAAAGATGGACTGCAACACATCCTTTTACAAAACAGAAGAATTTTAGAATTCTGCACAAAGGACAAGATTGGGATGAAACAATACTTGCCCCATTACAACACTAGGGAGGAGTGGAGAACTCATTTTGGCAGCCAGTGGGAGACCTTTGTCAAAAGGAAATCCCTTTATGACCCGTTGGCAATCCTGGCTCCTGGACACAGAATTTTCCGAAGAATATCTTAGTGGACGAGCCCAATGATGAATGAATATCTTAGTGCACAGATCTGTTAGCATACCAGAATAGTTATAAACTTATAATGCATTAATTTGTTGTGAAAAGTGTACTTCTAGTGTAGATAGATAAGCACATAGAATATATTATGGGAAGAAAATAACTTTGCACCATAACGTTTAATTTAATATTCGGATCGTTAAATCATGGGTGAGTACCCCAAGCCCCAAAACAGGGTCATTTCTCTTGGAAACTCTACACCACATAATTATAACAAACCTCAGTTTTTGGATTTGGGGTACAAAATCAATTATTCAACAAATGGGTATAGAATCCTTTATCAAAGTACATGACTTGCAAACCCAAATCTTCACATCTGTTGTTGTACATTAGTGCCCTGTATGTACTTCTCATCTGTTTCTGTACAATAATCTTTTCACCTCAAGGTTTACTCCGCATCCCATGTTTTCTTTCTTAGAACATGCACCCCAAAGTGCCAAGTGGGGGACAGTTTTATTAGATTTAGGACTCTACTCTGCGGTGCAAGTTCGAAGACAGAAAACATGGGATTATTAGACTTCGCACTCTAATCTGTGATGCATGTTCAAAGATACAAAGTAAAATATTGTGGAAAGTTGAGATGCAAAGACCAATTTCCATTTCAGATCTAAGGGGAGAATGAGATTCTCACAGTAGTGATACACAAAGTAAGATAAAGTAACAAAAAGGAATAACAGAGAGATGCATAACACCAACTCCATAACCCTTCAGTATTTTTTAACAAACAAGGACATCAGAACTACTCATACATTATAGGATCTTGTTCAAAGTATTATCAGGAAGAGAACAGTGAGAGTCGAAAAGGGTGGCAGCATGAAGGGGGACCTAGAAACTCTCTTCCTGATGACATGGCAATGATAGGTTCACTTCTTATCATTAGTTGTGTCTGTCCAGCCAAGGCCAGGTCTGCATATACGTTCCTGAGGCTCTTCATATTCTCGAGCATCAAGAAGAGAGGCTTCAAAGTCAGTTGTGTCAATGGCTGTAGGGAGGAAACTACCAATATCATCTCTAGCTCCTAACCCTCCGGCCCTCATAACATCATCAGGAGTTATCTCAGCTTCCATATTTACCTCACCGGCACCACCCCTTTGCACTAAATTATTAATGATGTCCCTTTCTCCTTTAGGGTCAGTTTTGCTGATTTTTTTATTACCCTCGCCTGCATCTTGGTGTGCCTTTTGGTCATTCATTGCACCTATCTCATGTTCAGATTCAGCTGTCCCCTTTTCTCTGGTGCTCTCCACCTTATCTGAAGATTTCAAAAAAATCATGTTCAAGTTCACAAATGGAGAACAAATGTTATCCTAAATGTAGGCTTGAACACAGACTGGTTCGTTTCCGGGAATGGGTGAACTGTATCTTGAACCGGTTCCAACATGTTCCAGTTCCAGTTAAATTATGTGGCATTTCCAGTACCAACCCACTACTTTTTCATCTTTACCTCCAAAAAAATAAATTGGAACCGAATTAGCAAGTTATGGTACTCCCAAATCCATAACAGGACCCATTTTGCCCGGTTCCAGTTCTGAATCAGAACATAAATGGATAAAATCCCAACTCTTCCTATATTAGTCTGAAATAAGAGCATAATATCGACAAAGAATCAGAATTGTATCAACTCGGAAATTTAGAGCCCTTTTGGTAATACTAGAATTGGCTAAATATGTTGAGATTGATGTAAATCTGGATGAAGTGAGTGAATTAGCTGAATCTGCTGAATTGTGAAAAAAATTATGTTTACAATGTATTTTATTAATACAATTATGAAAAAAAATATATGAAAAATAGCTAAAATGACCCTCTACGGTAACTTCAACAAATTCATTAGTCATAAAAGTAACTCCAAACCTACTTATTTTGATTAGGGAAAATGGAAACTAATAATCCAACATTTTAGCGATCTTCTTACAATAGTCCCACCTTTTCATTATTCATGAATAATCCAACCTTTGCACCTCATCTTCATTCACTGGTCCCTGACCGATTTATGGCATGTTATTCTAAGTTATTTTCTTACCTTTGCAAAACATTATGTGATCATAAGGTGGGAATTATGGTATAATGTTTTACAAATATAAAAAAATAACTTGGAAATTTGGAATAATAGGTCATAAATCGATCAAGGACCGGTGAATGAAGATGGGGTACAAAGGTTGGATTATTCATGAATAATGAAAAGGTGGGACTATTGTAAGAAGACCGCTAAAAGGTTGGATTATTAGTCTCCATTTTCCCTTTTGATTATTACATAATTCAGCGTGCCAAATCCAAAGTTACGTGTTTGGTTAACAGGCTGGCGGATAAAAGTGATAAGCTGAAAATAAGGGTTATCAAATGGGCTCTGAAAGTTGGTTCTACTCCCTCCGGATCTTTTTAAACTTCACACTTTCCTTTTTGGGACGGTCCAAAATAAACTTCACACTTCCTTATTTCCTTATTTGGCAAAGCAATCTACATCAAAACAGTGCTAAACAATGCCAAACAGTGTCTCAACAGTGCGAAACAGTGAGTCAACAGTGCCAAACCGTGTCTTAAAAGTGTACTCTACAGTAAAGTCAAATTAATTTTCTTAATCAATGTGAAGTCAAACTGTGAAGTTTAAAAAGATCGGGAGGGAGTACTTTTTATTAGTACTAGTGTATCAAGAACTCAACTGCCCAGTTACGGTTGAAAGAGGATATGAGGACAGAGGTTAAGACTGAAGAGGGCTACTAGTAGAAGTACCTTGAAGATTTCCAGGTGGAATATTATCAGTCATGGTCTAACACAACGCTGACAGAAAAACTGTATTGGCTATCTTAACCAAGGGGCAATATCAGAATTCAGAAATCAGAATCTTCAGAAACCTAAGAAAGAGAATATATCAGTATGCCGGTAGACAAAGACAAGTGCACAGCTTTGGCAAGAGAGGAATGGATACACAATGAAAAATCATCCACTCATAAAAAATGAAGGAAGAACAATGCAGTAACAGTTAACAGAGAGATGGTGCAACTGAGTAGTTGTGCAAAAAGAAAGAAAGTATATGGACCTTAAATAGATAATCTCATGGAGATAAATGATGAGACATAATTATCCTTATTTGGCATTTCCAGTACCAACCCACTACTTTTTCTGAGACACATAATCTCAGTTGGTGCAACAATTGCCCGGTCCCACCCACCGCGACCCCCCAAAGGAAAGAAGAAGTTCTAAAAAATGAAGGAAGAACAATGCAGTAACAGTTAACAGAGAGATGGTGCAACTGAGTAGTTGTGCAAAAAGAAAGAAAGTATATGGACCTTAAATAGATAATCTCATGGAGATAAATGATGAGACTTAATGAAATATGAAATGAATAAGAAGACCGAGGTTACAGAGCATAATATAAATAAAACCCAAACTTTTTATAAACTGTAACTTTTTACAGACTTTTGTGGAATTACGGCCAAACCTCAAGCCAAAGTCTGCATTCACGCTTTTAATATAGGTCTCAATGCTGTCAAAATGATGTAAAAAATGAAATCTAGTATAAATATAGGCAAGGTTTTAAATAGCGGTAGCGGCAGCGGTAGAGGTCATCACGGTAGCGGCCGTTGCGGCCGTTGCGATGTGTGTAGCGGTTGCAGCGGCGTGAAATATTTTCAAGTGTGCACAACATAGAATTAATGGATGAAAGTTAATATGAACATTATGAATACTTGTTTGAACACTTATATTTGAACAACGAATCAACCAATAAGAATATGACGATTAAAAGAGAATAATAATTATAAAGATTACTAAACTAAATAATTATTACAAACACAATTAAAAATGTCTTCAAACTAAACAAGTCTTAACACATTCTTAAATTAAATAGATTCTTACATTAAATGACACATTACCAGGGGCGGAGCCAGCCCTGGCCCAGCCTAAATTTAAAAAGTGTTCATATTTTTAGTGTAAAAAATTCTGTGTAAAATTTTTTCCAAATATATTCTTTGTACCGGCCCAATCCGGCCCAGTGCTCTGGCTCCGCCCTGCACATTACAAACACAACTAAACATGTACTGAAATGATATAATATGTTCCAATATGTTCCTTGTCTTCGTGTGTAAATAGCTAAATGTGTTCCACTTTCTCTCACAATTTGTTCCTCATTATCCTTATTAATAATTAATTCGGTTTTAATAATTAAAATTTACATATTTAGAAACTACATTAAAAACTATATAAAATTGCAATATCCAAATTAAAATTTAATTAAGAACTGATATCCTAATTAAGTGATTAAAATGAGTCAGTTTGACCCCAAAAAGTCAAATTTGTAATTCAATTTGGGATGGAGAGAGTAGCAATTAGTTAGCCCACATTTACAACATTTTTAGTAAGCATGCACATGCATTTATGTTGGAAAAGTTTGGTCTCATACCCCATACATGTTTATTTAATTTAGAGTTTCACTTCATTCACCACCATTAATGTATTTCACACCATTCCCAAAACATTTACACATTTATACATCAACTAGTTCGTGATGCGGTGCCGGAGGTGCCAGTAGCAGCCGGTAGCGGTGCGTAGCGGGTGGCGTAGAGGGCGGCGTAGCGGTAGCGTAGCGCTTACGTAACGGATTTCGGTGTGATTTGAATTTCACACCACAATAGCGGCCTGTAGCGGCCGATATAGCGGTAGCGGACCGCTATTTCAAACCATGAATATAGGTTTTGAGGTTAAACAAGGGCTTCTAGAGAGTTGGAGAGGGTTAAAAAACTGTAATGATAAAAATTGAAAGGATGCAAAATATTGTAAATTTGCTGGAATCTAAAAAACAAAACAACGAATCTATATTTGCAGGTATTTAAACCTAAATAAGATCAGACCATGTGTAAGTGTGTAATAGAAGATATCGTTCATTAGCGTCTACACTGAAATGGGAGCAAAAGCCAATCAGCCAATTCTAAACAAGATTTTCTCAAACACCAAAAGGAGAAATGTAGTGGTTGTAGCCAGCTGCCTGCAAGTACCATATCTAGAAGTACAGAGTCCACATACTATGCCGCAGTGCATTAATATTTATAGAATTAAAGTTCTTTATGATAAAACTTGAAAATTTTACGCGAATGTCCTTTGTCATTCTTCAGCAATAAAATTCAAGATGTGCAGATTTACTACTGTTTTGTAACATTTCATAGTACTAAATTCTCAAGTCTCGATAAGGCTAAGAGATTTTTATTACAACTAACTGTAATATCTGAGGTTTGAAGGATGTTTGGTGACTTATGTTCATCGGCAACGACATATCTTATAGGAATATTTTATGGCCATACAGAGCTTCCAATAATACCTATAATCCTATATCATTATGTTTTTCTTAATAATTATGGCCATTTTTACTGTTTCTTGATGTTTCTTGATATTTCACAGATGCAGATACCATGTGCAGTCCATGACTTTTATAGCCATGAGACCATTTCTATTAGCTGAGAAAGCAATTTCGGAAGAAGAAGAATTTCTAATCAGCAATCCCGAAGTCTTTTCAGCCAGCCTACAGAACACTATCCAGAAACCAAACAATACCATGTCATTTTTCGAATTCTAGAATTTCATAATCAATTTCCTTAACCCTACCAACAGTCGAGGTTGTGAAAAAATCAAGCATAAGCACAATTATAGCAGATCTTAATCACCCAAGAAAAGAATACATGCATATCCTCACACTAATTCTAACAAACTTTCTTCTTTAAGACACCTTTCTGGCTAATTACCACAGAACACGCATAGAACACGCACAAGATTTGAGATTTTTGCTCAAATAAGCTAAAAATAGAACACACGGAGTAAAAAAACATCTGAATATAAGAGTTATTGCAATTACGACAACGAATCTACCACTGATTAATCTGGAAAAGAGTTGTTATCGATCAGCGTATACCTTGGGAAATCCCGGTGCCTTGCCACCTTCTAGTAAGATCACGTCGTCACTGTTGCTTCCTTTAACCGGCTGCGCCTTGGCGGTGATATTATCCAGTCAAGAACGAACACAACAGGCAGTCCCCGGTTGGGACCCACGGGATTTTAAAACTGCTTCCTTGCCGTCATTTCAGATTTTTTCATGAGATAGGATTTGGGAGTAAATAAATCACTAATCGTAAAAACCTCTAATAGAATTTATTATTTGTAATTGGACAAAAACACTCAAGCTTGGAAATCATACCGCCGCTGACCAGAACGCCGGACCACCATCAGTCGTCGGTTGCTGGTCGCCACCACCTCAAAATCGACCGCCATTGTAGATCTTACCGCCACCGCTGTAGATATGGTTGTCGCCGCTACAGATCTTGTTGGCGGCGCCGAAGATCTGGTCACATGTAGCCTCCACCGCCCCCGACCGCTGCCCTTGTAGACCCGACCACCGTCGCAAGTAATTTGGCATCTGCCACTGCAAATCTCGCCTCTATCTTTGCAGATCTGGCTGTTGACGGCACGAATGCCAAAATTTTATCAAAATTCCAACATGAATCGAGAATGCCATCTTAATGGCATTTTCAAAGAAAAATACAAAAATTTTGTAGAATAAGAATGTCATTTTGATGGCATTTTCAGAGTTGAACTTGGCATTTTTTACCAACCAAAGAAGAAATGGAGCGGATGGGGAGAAGAACTAGAGAAGAGGGGAGGAAGGATGGGGAGAACAATCAAAGAAGAGAACTTGACCTTCGAAGAAGATCTCCGACGGCGATGGCGGCGACGGGGACTTCACGGTAGCGGCGGCGATGGTTATGATTGGGTGGTGGCGGCGACTTCGCGTAGCGGTGGACTTCACATCAGCGGCGGAGAGCTGCGAAGATTTGGTTGTTCCTTGCGAAGGGGAAGGAGAAGAAATTGTGTAGGGAAGGGAGAAGATGTGCAGGGGAGAAGAAGATCGCGTAGGAAAAGAGGGGAAAGAAAAAGAATAAGAGTAAATTGGTAATCCAGTCCTATTTAGGAGGAGGGAAATAGGCATAGTACTATTTAGGAATTTCATGAACAAATTAGTCTCATTTAGGGCAATAAGTATTTTTTTCATGTATATCCTCACTTTTTTTCCAATTCTTTTTTTTTCGATTTTTTTTTTCAATTCTTAAATCGTGTCTAATGGTTTTTTAGTTTAATAAAATTTATTTTAGTAAAATCATATCGATAAGTTAGAAATCACGGCCTTAAATTTGTGGCTAATCTAATAAATTATACTTCATATTATGATTTATGATTTAGTAAAAGGAAATGACTTCTTAGTTTACCTTCTATATAATACTCCATCTCTCCCTTAAAATTCTTTCTAACTTACCATTTTGGGATGTTTAAAAAAAAATCTCATTTCTATTTTTTGAATGTATTGTCGGGTTAACATTGATTTATCTTTTTCTTGCTCAACCACAACCATATATTTCCACTTTATTTCACTTTCTTTAACTTCGATCCAAAGTAATATGGGAAAGAATTTCAGGGATAGAGGGAGTATTTTATTGGGGGTGATTGTTTTCTCCCATCAAAGTATGCGGTTGTATGCCTTATTTTTTTCTGATCTCGATAATAGCTATTTGATAAAAGAAATAATGACATAAATATTACTAGTACTAAAATAAAGGCGCCAATCATTTCAAGAAAGCCAGTAGCAGTAGAGATAGAAAGGTGTAGGTATTCCCAGACAGCAGAGAACAAGATGAACAAGAAGCAGAGTGAGCTTGAATCGCTTGATGGTCTAGAATAGGTCTATGAATGTTCGGTCTTGGAAGGAGAAGATGAGTCGTTGTTGGTATGGGCTCTCCTGGACCATTGCCATGTAGAACCAAGTGGCTAGGGAAGATGATTCTCAAGTTTGAATTTGATCACTTGCGGTTTTTGCTTTATAATTATTTCAAATTCTATTTTTCTTTTGTTAGATAATTTACTCGTTTTTAGTTTATTTTTGTTCATGACAGTCTTGAGATATCTGGATTAACTTTTTTTTTACTCCAGAAAGAGCAAAAGAACTAGATTACCAAACATCATAAGAATTCTTACAGCATATGCTAATAGTTGAATACCCAAACAAAAGACTCATCAATAAACAGAATATAGTTGTGTGCATTGAGTTTGTCTAGGTTAGCTATGATGGGGGTATTGAGACTTTTAAGGATGTTAATTACTTCGAAGCTCCTTTATTTCAGCGAAACGTTTCACTCAATTTTGGATGAACTTTTGTATGTGTAATCAGGGACATAGGAGAGACCCATTAGCGATTTTGAGTCTAGTGAAGTGGTGAAAAGTACAACAACATTAAATGTCGGAGTGATCTATGTTGCATGATTGGTGATCATTGATTCATGTTGCTTCTTGAGTCTAGATGGGATTTTTGGATGTGAGGTGATGTATTTTGAGCTATTGAATGATTGTAACTCGTGATATGTTAATATAATTTATTTTCCATTCAAAAAAAAAGGATGATGAATAAAAATGTGAATTCCTATTTATAGTGACTATATCAGTATTTTTTTGTCATTATAATTATATTCAATTTTATACAAAAGTGACCATGATATAACATTCATAATAACTTTAGTCGAGGTATTTCACCATTTTCGATTACCTGGGTTTTACGGTGTTTACATGCTAGTCTCGACTCTGCATTTAGATAGAGCATTACTTACTACTCTACTTGAGCGTTGGAGACAGGAGACTCACATTTTCCACTTACCCGTGGGTGAGGTGACGATCACATTGGGAGATGTGGTTGTACTGGCAGGTCTACCGATCCAGGGTAGGGATGTTATTGGGACTGCATGTAGACTATGGGTTGATGTGGTACACAGATTGCTGGGAGTACGGACAGAGCCTAGGACATATATTCGAGGGTCCGTCTTGAGGATGTCTTGGTTGAGAGAGCATTTTATTGATTTACCTGCTGATGCTGATGACGATGTAGTCCAGCAGTACGCGAGAGCGTACATATTGATGCTTATGGGAGCCTCTACATTTGCAGACAAGAGCGGTAATGAGGTACATGTTCTTTACTTACCCCTTTTGGAGACTTTTGATGTAGCAGCGCTTTATAGTTGGGGTAGTGCGACTTTAGCATACCTATATCGGCAGTTGTGTCGAGGTTGCCATTGTCAGGGTGGCGAGATGGGTGGTTTTTTATTGCTCATGCAGCTATGGTCGTGGGAGCATATTCGTATCGGTAGACCTGTCATACTGCAATATCATGGGGTAGATGGTGGTCCTTTTGATGATGCTTTGGGTCTGCACGATGTATCTATACTTGGACCACACCATGTTCATGGCGAGGACCTTTTGGGTCATAGGTACGTTTATGATTTTTGTTTAATTTTTATTTTATTTTATGTATGCCGTTTTGGAATCCATTTTATATTCTTGTATATTACTGTGTGTCAGATGGCTTTTCGCTGACGTCACTCGCACGTCATCCGCGGCTGGATTAGGGTATTATAGAGATGCATTAGATGGCATGTGTGATGATCAGGTATACCCTATATATCGTTAATTATAACATATGTTGTTTTACGTTTTTATAAACAATGATGTCATAATATTTTGTATTATTGGTGACGTGGATGCCATACACTTATGAGATTCTAGGACACCTGCCTCCTGTTGGGCGAGAGCACATTGATACATGGCGAGCACGAGTGCCCTTGATTTGTTTTGATATAGCCGAGCATTAATTTCCTGATCGCATACTACGACAGTTCGGGTTGCAGCAGTTTGTTCCCGCTCCTTGTGATACTTCTTTGGACTTACACAAGATCGACAGGCGAGGGAAACACATTGAAGATTGGGGGATGCACCATATGCCGTATATCACCATGTGGGATGAGAGAGCATCATATATAGTGGACGAGATCCCATCAGTAGTCCCCACAGTCTCTGCAGATTATATGAGATGGTATCACAACATTACACGGGTGTTCATCTCTCCCAGTTTCCGTCTACCCACCGATCATTACCAGCCTAGCTCAGTCGCTCTTCATATCACGGTACATAATATATTCACATAAATCACTTTATTTATTTATTATATTATTTATTTATTCATGTGTTTATCACTAGTAACCATGTTTTCATTACAGACACGGGCTTTGCATACTATCCGTGACAGAGCGAATGCTCTACTTGATGAGGGGCAAGATGTAGAGAGATACATGAGATGTGCTCAGGCATTGCTGCATTGTGTGATGATGTATTGGGCCGAGTAGACCATGGATATGTGGCCGCCTCTCAGTATTCCACGGTATCTACATCCAAAGCAGGGTCTTCCCAGACATGACGACGTGATAGAGTGGTTCTTCAGCCTCGTAACCAGCGCAGACGCCCCCGACGTCAGACACAAGCACAACCCCATGAGCTTTATGATGACGATCGCGTTGAGTTGTGATATTTGTACTTTATATTATTGTGTTAAACAAGAACTAGTTGATCGATTTATGAAACATTGGATTTATTTTGGACTTTATGTGATATTTCTAGTATCGTGATTAAATGTATTCCATTGATTCATTGTGTTTCGACTATGTTTTAATTTTTAGCAACCTATATTCGCTATGAAGAGCAGTTTTTTTATGTTTTTGAGTTGATTGTACTGTAAAGAGCAGGTTTTTGTGTTTTTTGCGATTGAATAAGTTGTGAACAGGTTGGTGAAGAGAAGAGCTGCCACTTGAAGTGACGGCTTTTGGGAAGCAATAGAAGAACTGCCACTTCAAGTGGCGACTTTCGTGCAGTAATACAAGAGCTGCCATTTGGAGTGGCGACTTTGCTTAACCCTGGTTAACTTGCGCAGTACTTCGGGAATTATTATTATTAACCCGGCAGTATTTTGGTAATTATTTATTTAATTAGCATTATTCCGGGGGAAAACTCAGATTTTCATTCACGAGTTTAAGTAATATTTTTTTTTGGGGGGGGGGGGGCTCTTTAAAAAATACTAACTTATTCTTCAAATTTAATTTTGATAAATAAATTCAAGTTTCATATACTCAAGAACAAACTGGTTTCAAGTATCCAACGCTAGAATCTTTGTTCATGACTTGCATCTTTGCTATAGGCCAACCTTTTTATTTTTTAAGAAACATACAATTTTTAAATGATTTTTTCCTCTCAGCCGTCTTAGAGATGAGCTTCACCTTCACCTCAATGGGTTGGGATGGCGGCAAGACACACTTACCTAAGACCTTAATGTAGCCGAACTGGGTGACGTCAACAAGGGGAGCAGAATCCTTGCTCTTGGCCACCTTTTCCTTCGCTTCCGGCGGGCGAAGAGACCAGATCTTGTCAATGTTCATCGTGGGGCAGAAGAATTTGTTCCCGAGCTTGTGGAAATAGCGCATACCGACCTTCCCGAAATAACCAGGGTGATACTTGTTGAATAGGATGCGGTGGTAATGCATACCTCCGGCGCGGCCGGCACTGACGGTTGGGGAAATGTCGCCACCTCCTCCTAGTTGTCCGAAATTGATCGATGGACACAAAGCACTCCGGTGAAATGCTCATTCATTTCTTTCCAATAATTTTGGGGTTACATGGTAACTCTAGGCAGATGTCCTCTTTCTTCTCACATGGCTGCTTGTATGATCTGCAAAGAAAAATAATAGAGAATAACATGGCTCGAGACGCGTAAACGATGTCCTCAGAAATTTTGGTCTCCAATGTTTGTCGTCATACTTACAACGTTGCTTTAACACTTGATCGTGTCTCATCAATAAATACAACATCATCGGCAAACATCATGCACCACAATATATCTTCTTGAATTGACTTCGTAAATTCATCCATGACTATAGCAAATAAGAAAGAATGACTATAGCAAATAAGAAAGTACCCAGAGTCAATCCTTGGTGCACCTCGATAGTAATAGGGAACTTGTGGTCCTTCCTGCACTAGTACAGACACTTGTAGTAGAAGT